TAGACGGTTATCCATTCGTCTGAACCACACTTCTTAGTTGAGCCACCCTCGTTAATAAATCTTTACCTTCTGTATGTTCTGGTGACTATTTAGAGGAGCTAGACCCCAGGTGCGGTTCTATGAAGGGGCACCCCAGTTTTACTAGTGTTTCTTGCCCCAGCCTGGTGCAGGTCTACAATTTTGTTTCTGGTGTCCTTTGACAGCTCTTTGGTCTTGGCCATAGTGGAGTTTGGAGTGTGACTGTTTGAGGTTGTGGACAGGTGTCTTTTATACTGATAACGAGTTCAAACAGGTGCCATTAATACAGTTAACAAGTGGAGGACAGAGGAGGCTCTTAAAGAAGAAGTTACAGGTCTGTGAGAGCCAGAAATCTTGTTTGTTTGTTATTGACCAAATACTTATTTTCCACTATAATTTGCAAATAAATTCTTTAAAAATCAGACAATGTGATTTTCTGGATTTCTTTTTCTCATTTTGTCTCTCATAGTTGAGGTATACCTAGGATGAAAGTTACAGGCCTCATCTTTTTAAGTGGGAGAACTTGCACAATTGGTGGCTGACTAAATACTTTTTTGCCCCACTGTACGTGTGTACTGATATTTAGCATTTTGCGTGATTATGTTTATTAAAAAAAAAAAATGCAAGTGTTGAATACTCCTATAGAATTGGATGAGCTTTCAGGCACTTGGACACAGTTATCTGTGTTACTAATGTAATGTCATGGTTGTTTCCTGACCCTGTTGTCTGCTTTTATTTGTCTTTTCACATGCATTCATACGCTAAAATAATCCCGCTTCCCATGGCTCCTGCCAGGAAAATACAGGCTTCTTGAAGGTCCTCTGTCATTGCCAAGGGAAAATAACAGAGAAGGAATGTCTTCCTGAGCAACAACCCAAACACTTCTTAATTATCATAATTGCAATGGAAAAATGAAGACAAACAGTGCTATAATGTAATACGATGATCACAGCTTCCCTCTGTACGTGGCTTTTTTTTACAATCCTTTAACTAGCATTGTGGAAGTAGAAGCTGTTTCAAAAAGATGTTTGTTTTTCTGAATGTGACATGCTTCCATTCACCGAAGTGAAGCTAACGTCTCCAGTCACACAATGACTCATCCATCAGTCTCTCAATAGACCTTTTAAGTCGATGGAGATCCTTTGCTGTCCTCATGATCCCTGACAGACAAAGCTCAGTTCAGTCCGTCAACTGCTGGTCGTCCTCCATCATTCCTCCTGCCATGCTTTCTCTGCAGGCTGAGGCAGCATTGTAAAGGAGAGCTTTTGGTGTGGAGAGGTGGGAATTAAGTGGGGGTCAGAGAGCACAGTAGGTCAGTCAAGCAGTGCATTATCAGGCCTGTCTATCAGCCTCACACCAACCCCCCTACACTCTGCTTTCTCTCACTTTGTGTTGTTTAAAGAACACTGTTTATATTAACGGAGCAAATCATTATAATAGACAACCCTATCTTTTTTTAGGTCTTAGGATTTATTTTTAGGACATGAGTCTTTTGTACATGCTCAGGATGTAAATATCTACATGTGTTCATGCAGATCACTCTAAACCACATGTTTGTTCAAATGCCCGGTATGAAGGTGTTACTTGAGCTTTCCTGTTATTGTTTCAAGTCAGTCTGTTGGCAAGTTGTGTGAATGTCTGTGCTCTGGCGCCCTCTACAGGCTGGATCCATGCTGTGCTCACCTCTCAGGATTGCATGGCGTTCGGAGGGAACTTCCTTCACAACCTCAATATTGGCATGCAGCTCAGGTAATATTGGCCTAACTGTTTATCTCATTTGAATCTATAAATAAAATGTGCTATCATGTGCGTTACTTCATCACTTAACAATATTTTGAATCTGTTGGTTTGCAGGTGTTATGAAATGGAGCGTCGCCTGAAAACCCCAGACCTCTTTAAGTTTCCGTACTTCGAGGCCATCTGTTGGTATGTGGCCAAGAACCTCTTGGAAATGCTGAAAGGTGAGAAGCTCAAAAGAGCATGTATGTTCAAATCAGTGCAGTCTAAATGTTGGAATTATAAGTGCAATTATTTCGATTTGTTAAAGACCCAATTCAGTCCTTGTGTGGTTTAATTGCCATTATAGCCTATGCATGCAAACTCAGAATCTGCATGTGGATACTTTGTATAAGTATTGATGTTTCTCATTTCACAAAGAAACATTTAATACTGGAGTTCATATGAAAAACTCAAAATCACAAAATGTGAAGATGCATGGTTCTTACTGGACAGAGAGGATATGAGCATCAGCTGGTGCAACTACCCCAATATGGAATATTCTGCGGATTCTTTTCTGGATGAATCGCATAACTGTTTGGTTTTCAAAATATGATCCCACTCTCAAAGTCCAAGTCAATCATATTTTGTGAGTCCGCAAAGATATTCTGTTTAATGAGATATAAAACAGAATCGCCATGTTTGCGAGGCTGAAAGGAAGATATTCTGAAGATTATCGACTTTCACGATAAATGAATTGTCAAATAAGTTGGCAATTATCTTTCTGTCGATTGTCTAATCGATAAGTTGACTTATTGTTTCAGCTCTACTTGTAATGGTAAAGACTGGCCGATGGTCAGGTCAGAAGGTTAATACTTCCCACCGATATCGTGCATCAGCTTGGGAAGCTGCAATAATGTACATCTTCTTTGGACAATTTTAACATTGGATATGGTCGACTGTCTTGTGAATTTTCAAGGTTTAATGCTTATTTTTTATTTCCCTCTCAGAGCTACGAGAGGACAACTGTCCACCCCCAATCTACCTGGTGGAGGGAGTGAAGGCTTTAATCAGCGCACTGAGGACGTGGTTGAAGAGAGAGGTGAGCACCGGCCACAGTGTTCTCACGCTCTTCTCCACAGAAACACACCTGCAGCTGAATAGCTCCAGTCCAGAGGGCTGTTGTTACCCAGCCGGCTCCACTGTGTGTTCTTATCTCCTGGATGTGTGTGAGTGGCCAACAACAGACTTCTTTCTGTTCACTTCTCCTGTCTGAATGTGGTCTGCTGTGTCTCTGCAGGTGACTGAGCCTTCCAGTGAGGTACCAGACAATATCAGGCCCAACCATCTCATTAAAGAGCTGACCAAGGAAATCCGCTACCTGGAGGTAAGAGCTGGAGCGAGGAGGGAAGGATATCGGAGAGGCTTAGACCTTTTAAACTGAATGCATTGATGCTGATTTTAATTGCCAACTGTAACAAAAACTTTGAAGCTAATTATTTTTGAGTTTTTTTAGCTATCATTTTGTTTAAGTCAATGAGCAGCATTTCCTAATGCATCCATTCCAATCCAGTATACCCAATAGTTTAATGGTACCACTTATTAAAGTCAATGTAGAATGTAACCGAGGAACTTATATAAATATTGAATATGTACAAATATTAGTTTACACTAAAGGTGTAACTTTGAACAACACTTTTCATTGCCATTATTAACTTCTTAGTGATCTGTTTCGTTTGTTGTCCTTTGTTATTTGACATAAAATACATCTTGCCAAAAATCCAACACACATCTGATTATGAGGCAACCTAAAAAATTGAATACAGAAAACGAAAACAAAAAAGTTTGAGTTTGGTCTTGCCTGCAGTTCATGAACTTGTGAGCATGTACATTTTGGATTTTGGTAAAACCTTGACTTCATTATGTTTAACTTAAATCACTAGGAGGAACCAGTCAGCGTTAGCAAGCCAGTGAAACCTCAGGGAAGTGTGTGTGGAGTAGCATCTGGATCAAACGGCTGCCCGGCCACTCGCGCCCCACTGGAGAGGCTGGACCACGCCCGGCAGGCGAGGAGGGCGGCCCGGAGGCTGAGGGAGCAGCAGCGGCACGCCCCCAAGGTGCCCTCCAACCTGGACATCTTAGAGCGGCACACCAAGGAGGTGCTGAGGAGGCTGGAAGTGGGACCGCTGGAGGAGGTGAGCAGCTGCTGATATCCCACAGTGGCACTTATAAATCACGTCCTCAATTAAGCATTTATTTTTCCCCCATGTCAAACAAAAACGGAAGCTTGGTGCAAATGCTCTCTAAGTGTATTAATGTATTAAGATTAAAGTCAGTGTTTTTCTTTTCTTTTAAAATAAGTGTTTAATACAGGCAAAATAATACACATCACAAACACAACCATATGATTAATGAACAATATAGCCTCACAAAAAGATGAAAAACAACATAAAACATAACAAGAGACAAACAAAGTAAGGAGGATCCTTTCAGGAACTACAAAGTATTTAGTGTTCTCCCATGTAAAGTTGTTTTTAGTTACCGTATCCTTAGTATAAAAAAAATAGTTTCCATGATGTTAAAATAAAAATACAGTCTATTGACTGATGCTGGTCTGTTCTCCTCAGGATGCGGCGTTCTGTGCCAAGGTTCGTGGGAAGCTGAATAAAGTGTCGACGGCATCAGCCGCTGCTGCCGCCGAGTCTCTAGAGGACAACCACCACCTACGGCTGATGCTCGTCAATGGAAGAATCATCAGGTGAGAGCTCGCAGCCCTTTGGTCTACACAGCAATGTTGATGCTACTTAGTCAATTAGGCTCAGTGGTCATTTTCTCAGAAAAATACGGACCTGTCTGTGCAGAAGGGAAATCTTGCCAGTTTTTACAAACCTGTCCACCCCAAAAAATAGAGAAAAACATAACGGACACTAGAGTGAGAGAGACATAACAATAGCAACCTTAAATGAATCTGCCTTCATGCAGGGAAATTAAACGGGAATTTATTTGATACCCAATAGTGTTTCATTGAAATAACAATAGAGATTTTAACAAATTTTGATGCCATGATTCTCTCTAATCTGCAATTCTACAGTCAAGATGATCTATATTATATGTGGAAATTACATTTTATTTCCTAATTTTTCAAACGTGGATTTTGTGTGCAGAGACTTGAGGCAGCCAGCCAGCAACCCAGTGAAGACGGAGGCTGAGTGGTCATCGGGCAGCCCACCAAAGAGTTGTACGGACGTGAAGTCTGAAAGGACAGAGGACAGCGGAGAGCAGCCCAGCACAGTCGGGAAACCCACGTTCCTCAGTAAGTCACTAGAAGCTATTGTTAGTCATATCATTATGATTAAACTCAAATCTTATTGTGTTTATTGTCTCATGGTGTGTTCCTGTGTTTCCCAGGTGGTCTGGAGAGGATGAAGACTGAACTCAGGGAAGAAGTGTCAGGACACTCCGGTGTGTCAGACGCAGATTCAGACAGTGACTCTCCCACAGAGGTAAATACTGAGAACAGCATCAAATGTCTTACTTTATTGATTTCTCATGTCACATTCGGTTGTTTGCCATCTTATAGCTTCATAGTGTGTCAGTGTCACTTAATGTTGTTTTGTTGGCTAAATGTTTTATTCCTTCAAAGGTTCAACATTATTATCTGTTTACATTATTTACTGGTTTATTGATCAGAGGCAGTGCACCTGACATTGTTGTAAATGCACACTTAATAAATTCCGACATTTCTGCAGCATAAAGCAGCAGCATCGTCGTCGTCGTCGTCTTCATCATCATCGTCGTCGTCCTCCTCTTCTGATGAGGATTCAGGGAGTTCCCAGGAGGAAGAGGAGGATGAAAGGGGCTCAGGGCACACCATAGAGCTGGACCAGTCTGGCCAGAAACTCAGGCACGAACACAAACCACTCAAACGGTGAGAAACACTTTATCAACGTGCAAAGATATTGTCCTTCATTCAATGGGTTGAATATGCATATTATCTTTTAAATGCAATACTCGTGTTTTTTCATATAACTGATGGTCAATAAAATGGGCTACTTCAAATATTCAAAGTGACACTCATGACTGAAAAAAGCATGAAGGAGCCTCTAGTGTACATGGTGGTATCATGGCAACACTCAAAGCAAATCAATGACGGGTATTAACTAATGATGTCCTGTGTGCTCCTTGCAGAGAACGTCCTACCTCACCCAGCACAGAAGAGGCCATTCAGGGGATGCTGTCTATGGCCGGGCTGCTGTGCTCCTCCGAGCCAGAGAAGGTGGCCTCCTCCCAGGAGTCCTGGTGGTCCGGCTCCAGCCAGGGCTCGCCTCTGGAGCGGAGGGAGGAGGCGCAGCACCGCCTGCAGGGAGACCAGAGCCCCATGGACAGCCAGGGCAACAGCAGTGAAGCCTGGGACAATCAGGGGCTCCCCAGCCCACTCAGCAGGGGCCACAGCGGCAGCCCAGAGACAGAATACCAGTACTGTGACCCCTCCATGTCCCCACCACTGCACCCCTCCAAGAGGCACGCACCCAACCCCCCACCCATCAGCAATCAGGCCACGAAAGGTTTGGAAATCAGATTTTTCACTTCACCAAGCTTTGGAAAGACCAGAGTTTGACCTTTTTGAAAGGTTGTTGTAACTTCAATGGGTTAGGGGTAGTTTCTCTGTGTGCACCTTAAATCTGAGTTCAACACGAGTGCGCATTTGCATGATTTGTGTGTCTAAAGCACTTTTAAAGCCTATCCTACTACAACATGTAACCAACACAAGTGTGATGTGGTTACTTCAGTGACCTAAGACACGTTTATTAATATGTTATGTATTTGCATTTTTCATTTAAAATTGCTTTACTTGCTACTCAGCTTTTTGTTGAATAATTATAATTTTAAAATATCTGTAGGGAACATAAATAGACTGAATAGAAAGACAATATGTTTGAGAGGAATGGACAGCAGCGTTGATGTAGAACAAATTGGACATAAACATTTGTCAGATAAGCATCATATTGATCAAACAAATGTATCATGCATGAAATCAAATACGACATAACACATACATGTGTCCAAACATTTTTAGTATAGGAGACACTGAAACTTAATTCTCACAGCAAATCGTTTTACAAACCTTTAGTAATAATTATAGCTATTTATGATTCATTTGAATGCTGTTGTCCTTTTTTCAGGCAAAAGGCCCAAAAAAGGAATGGCCACAGCCAAGCAGAGACTGGGGAAGATTCTGAAACTCAACCAACACAATCGTGTGTTTGTGTAACAGTCCAAATCTCCAAACGCAAAGAGATGCGTGGGGATGTGTTCTTTGGGGAAGAAAGAAACACTGGTGTATTTGTTACCAGACACTCTGGTGCTTCAGAAAAGGAGGAAAAAACCATACACACTGCCTGGAGTCGGCCGAATTTTGACACGTAAAACACGCTCACTGTGCATGCTAAGGAGACAGGGTATTGGATTTGAAAAAAGCAAGTGCACGACTTCACCACAAGCACACTAAGAACAAAACAGAAAGGAGCTACGGGAAGCGGAGAGGGACAAGCATGTTGTGAGATGTTCTGCTGCAGGGAAAGGTGGACCGAGGCTCCTGTGGGCATTCAAATGGACCGGGGAGATGTCGGAGGTCTACCTATCAAAAACGCTTGCTTTGCCAGGGAGCAGCTTCTGATGCCAACATCATCTGGATCATATTTTAGTATTTCTCTCTGCTGACCATCCCCCAAGCCCCCCCCCGCACAACCTTCACTTGCTTCATGGCTTTCTGTGAAAGGAGCAGATGAAACTGAGCTGTATTTTTCGAGCAGGGTCTTTTTTTCTGAAGCTCTGAGGGGGGCAAATGAGGTGCTAAGGAGAACAGAAATTTCAAAATGGTGCTTCTTGCTTGTACTTTTCTCAACTCATGCTTGTCCCTTCCGGCCTACACCTCCCTCCCTGATACACCCCCCCCCTTATCTCAATCACACCAGCAATAATGACTTTGAGGAGAGAGTGAGAGGCAGCACTTTGGAGCATCCTTCTATTTGGTGCATTACAGACTTGCACAATTCAGTGCAAACTGTACTCTCAAATGTGCACTATGTTTGATATTTAAAGAGTCTGCTTAAGGCAAGCTGCTCAAAGTGCTGCCTCTCTGAATTTGTTTAAAAATAGGAATTACGAGTTTTTCGCTCGGTCTAAAAATCCGAGGACTCGCATGATATCCTGCTTAATTTATTGTTTTATCTATGTTGCTGTTTTTTTATGTGTTATTTTTATCGATTCTGAATGATGTATTTATTAATTGAAAGAGATAATGATTTTATTATATTTCGACCCTAAAGCCTCAGTAATTCTGAGGGGTTTTCTTCTTTATAGGGTATTTTATTTTGTCTTTAACAAACTTTTTGTAAATGTGGATGTTTTAGAGTTCATGTGATCATCATCTGTTGAGTAGCAATTTACCTACTAAATCTTTGAATAGCTTCTATTCTTTCCCAACTCTTTACCCCCGTCCCCCCAGTTGAATAGATGTGTTCTTGTCTGTCTGGTTTCTCCCTGTAGCCAGAGGTGTTGGGCTATGTGCAAACAGAAACCACGTTAGGTCGAAAAATGTCAACTTTCATTATAATTACATCTGAGCTTTTTCAACTAGTGCCAGTTATCTTTTTAGCAAAAAAACAAAACAAGTATTCTGAGCCACTGTGGTCGATGCATTAAGAAGTGAACTTCTACGGGATGAGTGAATTGAGTTTTTTTTTTTTTTTTAATACCAGTGCTGATGTTCGATGTGTGTTTTGCTCGGGGTGCGCAGTTCTTCACTCTCAGGGAATGATGCCATGGACATAACCTTCGATTAACCAGTAGCCTCGTCGTGGACGCAGACAGGATGTTCTCAGCACTCACTCGAGACTTTAAAGATTCACCTCCTGCTTGAGGTTTGTTTTTTCATTGCGCAACAAAAATCATTTCATGGTTTTCATGTTGTAAAGATAAGCTGTCAGTCATTGTACTTTTTTTAAGCAAGCTTTTACAACTTATGTTAACATGACTTTGGTATTGTCCTTCACTGCTTCCTTACACACTTTCAGCTCAGTGTTATTGGAAACACTCTTGTTGGTTGACTCTAAAACATCCATGCTAACTGGCAGTCTCCCAGAGACTTTGAAAGCTTTGCTCAGTTGGCTTGTAGTACACATGACCTGCAAGGGACTGTGATCAATCTACCAGCCCCGACGAGGTGTTTCACAATGAACCAACCTAAAAGAATGAGTGTTCATCACATTGCCAGACTGATCGCCTCCTTTTTTCTTACACTACACTTTAACATTTGAACTCTTTGCATGTCAAGTCATTGAAAACAAGAGCTGGCCCGCAGGCAGGGCTTGTAATAAGCTGTAGTATTCATCGTAGTTTCATACAGTCTTTGTTTCGTATGCAACTCTCGGCATTTGTGAAATGTGCGTTGGTTTTTGCAACAAAAAAAAAAAGTTTTAAACTTCTTATGATTTAAAATATACAAACACTGGCTAACTGACACTGTTAATGCGTTGCATTTTGTTTCTGCATTTCAAAAAATTGCGTGTAAATAAAATTAATGAAATAACATGCTTGTCTTTTCTGTCAAGCCCAGCTCATGTTCGCGTTGGTTATTGTAAAAAAGGCAACATTTTACATATTTTTAAAGATCTTTTTATTAGTTTATTTACAGAACTGACTTTTGGGATATCCAGAAGATTTAGACTTGCCCCGCAGCTAGAATTCCTCATTGTGACCTTGAAAGGAAACAGATTTACTACAGTGGACCAAAACAAATGCCATCCAAAATTGCCCGTATAAGGGACACCTAGCTAAAACCAATGTTTTCTAATACAACATTTCTGCAACAAGTTATAATATTCAGTTTTTCAGTACCCCATTGCTATACATAGCGTACACATTAATAAAAACATCTGTCCATCTCTTAAAGAGCTGTGCATTAATTGACTGAGTCTCTTGTAATAAGACAGCGATAACCTGGTTGAAAAAGACTGGTGAGTTTATGGCCAAATTTAACATCAAGTTCAAATGAAATACCTAGTAGTTCATATTTAAACGTCATTTGACAGCATTGTAAATTATGAATTTCTTAGTTCAAGAAGATTCAGATTTCCCTCCTGTGTTCTGGCCTTCAGGCAGTGAATTACATACTGTATAAAAAAAGCTGGTTGTCCTGATTTGTTAGCATACCTTTGTCCTTTTTAAGCAAATGAAACGGAAGAAATGATCTTATTCTTCGTCATCTGGTGGGATTCCAAGCTCCTCATCTGTCCATTCAGAGGCATCAGGCCAGGGGAAGTGACCCTATGAAGAGCGAAGAACCTTCACTTAACGTTTGCATTTCAAATTAAGGTTAGTGGACCTTTGCTATTGCAGTCTTTCCATTTCGACTCCTGACTTATAATGAAGCTTCTAACAAATAGTTAAACATAACTGCATTTCAATTTATTTCATACTGGACATTGTAATTTAGTCCAACATAATCTCATATTCCACCTGCAGCAGAGGGCCATGCTCATGCAGGGACTTGATGGTAATGTATGTTTACTTACATGCTCCGTTTTGGGGCTGGATACTGTATAATTAAAGTTTACTGAAGCAGGATTACTTACCATGACTGCATCAGGGTCGTGCCAACTGTGCCAGAGGATCCAGAACCACATGGTACCGCTAAGCAGCTCGGAGGTCAAAACATGTCTCTTCGATATTATGGGGAACTGCCTGTACCGTGGCACTATAGCCGGTGTGCCGCTACAACTAGAACATTAAAAGCACAACAAAACACTTAAAATCAATATTACATAGTATACAGGATAACATTTACGATACTTTAAGTTTTAAAGACAAATCACTTTTTAATTAACGTTTGTGTACGCAGGTCGTTTGGCTAATAGCTGCTAGTGGGTTTGACGATACTTACTTTCTGATCGTTATCCTCTGTGTACCACGTCTCAGGAGCTGAGATCCTGTGCGAAGGACTCCCAACGCCCTTCCAAAAGAAGCCATGGTTGCTAATTTCCCCGCAACCAGCCCTCTGTTGGTTATTTTTGTACGATTTGACAAGCTAGCCGTCTCGCCGAGGAGTCACCTTCTCCCTTGTCAATAAATGACCTCCTAACATCGACGGCTGTGATTGGACTCAGTGTTCACGTCCGTTGTTCTTGTACGCTAATTGGTTGAATGAAAATACCGTTTTAAAGAGACAGCGCCCTCTTCTGTTCTCCTGTTCTGAGGACTCTCCCTTTGAGTTCAACCAGAGCCGTATAAAGATTATAATAATTAATGTATTCATATATAATAAAGTATTTATACGGCTCTGAGTTCAACTGTTTGATAACTTTTGTGCATAGTATTTTACTTTTAAATAAAATAACGTCACTTGTATAGCCACATATGTGCAACTTTAGATAGACATAGAGACACTTGTATGCTTTACTCCACTACCTTTTCCTGACAGCTTCAGTTGTTATTCAGGACACATTTTTCTACCCTCTGATTTATTTTCATGGTTTCAGAGTGTACAGTGCATAATTACCTTATCCCTACAAGAGAAACGTTCACCTTTTTAATCTTGACTTAGAAATACGAGATGTTTACCTATTTTGTATTTGGGCTACCCTTACACATTTGTACCTATATTGCATAACTTCATGGTAGTCAGAACATTATATTTGATATTTGACTTTCATTTACGTATCTATGCATTTAATAAAACCTGCTCTAAATACATGACATCGGGGAGGCTATCTCTGCAGAGCAGGGACACAAGTCCTGGTAATAAGAATTAAATTACAGAGTTACAGGGAGTCAATGGCTCATACATGTCAAATTTCCCTGCATTGCCCACTAGATGGGGCCAAAGGCTAAACTGGTAAGATGAAACTCTACCGGATGCTGTACTGTTTTTGTGTTGTACACGGCATGGTAAGGTTTATGGTCTTTACGAGAAGCATGGGGCCGTTTAATGTCTTTGTGAAAAGTGGCAAAGGATAATGAAGTGCTTATGCAAGTTATCTAGAATGTGAAGATCACCACAATTTAATAAAACGTTAAGGGTTTGCTTTCCGTCACATCTACATGGCAAAACATGGGGTTACCACAAACACATGTTAAAACATATGCATCGGGTCACTTCTTGGACTGCGGTTGTGGTCGAACATTGTTTATAAAGCAAGTACTTCTCAGGATATGAAAACAGGAAATAATAACATAGTGGCGAGAACGCGCACGGCGCCGCCGCCCATGAGTGCTCGACCCTGCGTGCACTCAAAGAAAGAAGTCCTCGACGCCATCTTGTTTCCAGTCGACAACGATAACAAATCCCGTGCAACAACAGGAAGTCTCTTCTTTTATCGCCCGCGGCGAGTAGTCAATGTCCACTGCATGGGCAATATAAATATATTCATGTCGACCACTCTATGTTGTACCTACCAGAGGCCCCTATTTAAAATAACTCCACGCATAGTAGCTTACGTTGTTACCTAATGGCGCCTGGTCTCTCCGGTTGCGCCCCTCTCCCCTCACAGCTCAAAGCCCGCCCACAAATACTAGCTGCATGATGTCATCGGAAACCAACTATTTCTTTTTTTTTTTTTTAAATGAACCATTTCTTTTTGATCAATGGTTAACTTTCCACCATCTGTGCGTCTTTATCTTAAATTGAAATAGGGAATATCATCTTCAAACCGAAAACGCGATGGGCACAACAAGGGTCATGGATACATGTTATCCTCTCCGAAACCGACAGTGATCTTTTTTTTCATCGGTGCATCCTCCAGAGCCGAAACATCTCCGTTTAGAAGCGGGTGATAGTGGCTCGAACGGGCCATGTTTTACCTCCGTCGTCCGCTAAGTTTATTTCAAACAACCCGACTGCCCGTGCTCCAGCAGTTGCAGCGGTCCAGCACAAGTGCGCATGCGCGGGGGGATGCGGTTTCGGGTGGGGGAGGGTAAATAATAAATGGAAACGATGAGAACATCCTCTCTCAACATATGATGTCAAAGGGATTTCTCCCGACATATTTCTGGAGATTCAACTGTAACCGACTTAGCACAACAATACACCTGTCTGAAACATTGCTATAATTATTAGTTGTCAACAATTCCAGCTTACGTTTAGTTAAATGCTTGTTAAATAAATCAAAAGGGTTACAAGTACATTATAGAGTTACTTACTGATGGTTGCATTAAACATACAACATATACTTAATATGTTTACATTTTGATAACACAGTAAATTCAAACGTTTGCAAGCCTAATAAATGAGAGTGATGTAAGTCTGTTTATCCCACCTTGTTATTTGCACTTGCACGGTGTGAATAGCACCAACAAATAGGCTTAGTGTGTGTGTGGTTTATGAAATGTTCAATAATTTCGTAGCCCTGTATGGTCTGTTTTCTTTGTCCTTGGTATAATCTTATTGGTCAGTGTTTCATGGGCCACCCTTTAGCATCAGCTCAATATACAAAATGCTTCTCTTGTGTAAGGGGTTACATAACAGCTTAGCCTCCTCCTGCATTGGGTAGCGGATTTACGTGCTCCTTTTCAACTAAGGCAGTGGGAAATCAAGGATTCGTGTTCAAAACTACCACATTTTTTATTTTATAAACTTAGATACATTTCAATTATTCTCATGGCAGAATTAATAAACATCTACTGTGGCCATTTTAGTCCCAATTGCCACCATAGCCTATGTTTGATAATGGACACACGAACAGACATAAACTCAATGACTCAAAAGCATTGCCGTGAATACAAAAATATAAACTGGCTCCGTTTTGTTAAATCATTATTACCCCTTTCTCCCTGAGACGAAGAAGAGGAAACAGTAGAGGAAACAACAGTAAATTCAAACAAAACCTCCTGATTGAAAACATCCCCACATCTGACTTCACTTTCATCAGATGATCGTGAAGATTACAAGGGAATTCATGTTTACACATCACATTGAGACTAAGATTTCTATAAAGTTGTTCTTGATTAAATCCTAAAGAACGTCATCAAGTGTAATATCACTTAAATAATTTTTTATGCTAAGGTCCCAATTGACTTCTAATCCTTGACGTTCTTGTCCGTTTGACAAGCATTTTCTAAAGATTGCGGGCGGCACAATGTAAATCCAGAGACAGAAATAGCAGTCTTGAGGAATCACAGTCGTGTACGCGCATAGAGCACGGTCACGTTGCCCCTGTGAAATTGGAAGGGTAACCCCGCAGTATATGGAGGCGGAGCCCGGGTTTAGCGATGGGCAGGGAGGGGGGCTCGTGGGGGAGGCGGAGTCTCGGCAGTCCTGGCAGGGCCGCCATTTTTGCAAAGGGAAAAGAGACTGGTTTGAGGGGATCTAATTTCTAAAAGTCGCCGATGACTAGGGTGCAGTTTTAACGGTTTTGAATAGATTTCGAGTCATATTTGGGTCATTTCGTAGAACAAGGAAGCCAGGGATTTTTCACAGCAAAAAACTCTTTAGACGACAAGTTTATATACAAACATTTTAAAGCTTTGCTAGGGATCCGCAGTGTGTGGACAGAAGTATTGTTTTGGTTGTGGAAGCTGTGTGGAAAGCGACGGGGGTCTAACCCAGGTCCCCTTATTCGCTATTCAGATCATCCAGAGTGGACATAAAACGGTAAGTAAACTGCTCTAAGTACTAGTTGTAGGGTGAGCACAAATCCGACCTGGAAGGCTATTGTTGGCTTTAGTTAGCTGGCTAGGCTCATCATGCTGATGCTGGCTAACGTAGTTGTATTATCAGCTGAGTTTAGCTTGCTAGCTAGCCGAGCAACACTGTTAGTTAAGGGGTCTGTATGTGTTTTGTACTTTATTTTTACGTTTGCCTTGATAACCTATTAAAAACGGCTTACTAATTGACACGTTTTTTAATTAAAGTGGCAAGTTGGCAAGCGTAACGCCAGGAGACCTCTTGCTAACTAGCGCATGCTACTAGCTCAAATTAGCTTGACACAGACCGAGCAGTGCATTGACTCCTATTTGAAAGTGTGGCGATACACAAACGTCATACACATGTATCGGGTCAATATTATGTACAGTTCGTATTAATGTATATAGTTGTTTGCCAGAAATAACACTGAATACACATTCACGTATTGGTAACGTAAAACGAAAATGCTGCAATTAGATTAATGGCTGTCCCATAGCCTAACGTGTAACGTCTTTGCCACAGCATACAGTCTCGGTCAACAACAGTTTACATTGCCAGCAGTGAACTTGCCTTTTAAAAATACGACACAATATTATTACTCACACTTTGACTATAACCATGAGGCGACACGCTTGGTGTTTAGTTGGACCAAGATACACTGCGGATCATATTGCGCACGGTTTCTACAATTTTAGTGTAAATAATGTGACCTCTTAAAAAAACGTTACCCGCTTTATTTCTAACCAGTTAATTTATGTCTAAGGTCCTTGCAGCTGACCGCAAACGCGCATGTTCTTTTTTGACACCTCCTGTTACTTTACAGTATTTGCATCTTTGTCAACCAGCATTAAAACAGTACATTTACAATTAGTTACCAACTTGAATTAGTCGTGGTTGCTCCCACCCTGCTTAACCAGAGCACGGGACATTATTTCCGTTCAGCGAAATGTCATACAATGCCACTGTTCAAAGCCAGGGAACAATGAGTTTTTACATGCATGTAAACAAATCTATGAAGGTGTTTATTCTAATATACCTCAGTGGACATAACCAGCTGTTAAAATAGCTTAGATGTCTAGCTACATTGCGCAGTAATCTCGTAGGCAACAGAGTTTATATGGAATTGTATTTGTGACGAGATGTAATCGATAATAGACCCAATGTCAAACAAGACGCTCGTTTGGTTGTATTCGGGCTAAAAGTCCATTTCAAGATCACTTAATTTAGATTCTGGGTGTATAGGGTTCAAATGCTGCAAGCGTGGGGGAGGGGGTGTTACATTTGGGCATCTCACCCCAGTCATACAATTTGTAACTCCATCTCGAATGACAACCCCTAGCCATGCCATGAACTATCGCAATTGTTTCATGCGACCTGAAACTAACAAACGTATGCATGTACAAGCGGATACATTTGGCCCGAAGCAGTTATCTGTCAACGCTGAAATTGTCGCTCTTTCCTGTCTGT